GAATTAGAAGAATTAATATAATAAAAATGTCAATCCTATCCAAATTAATCTATAAATTCAATGTAATTCTTCTCAAACTACCAGAGATATTCCTCACAGAAATAGAAAAAAAATTATAAAATGTGTCTGGAATCGTAAAAGGGCCAGCATTTCCACAGCAATACTGTGCAAAAAGAATAAAGTAGGCGGCATCTCACTTTCAATGTATATTACAAAGCCGTGACAATCAAAACACATTGTATTGGCACCAAAACAGGCAAGTAGACCAACGGAACGGAATTGAGAACCCAGAATAAATCACAAATCATACAGCCAACTGATCTTTGACAAGGGCACAAGAACAGAGGAGTGGATTTTAAAAACGTGATACACATATACTATGGAATACTATTCAACCATAAAAAACAATGAGACCCTGACATTTGGTGCAAATATAGAAGATTTAGTGCTAAGTGAAGCAAGCCAGACTATGAAAGACAGGCATGATTTGTCCCCATTCAACATGTATGAAATGTCTGCATTCTACAGTAGAAACAGAAAGATTGGAAGGTATGATAGCAGAGAGGGCAACTGTAGATATTAGAGACAGTATAGAAAGGTATGGGTAATAGGAGGTAGGAGGTAGAGGATTAGGGGAAAAAAACACATTTAATAGACACAAAAATAAAAAGTTATCATGATAGTATATATGGCAATGTCTTTGACTTGACTAATATCCACTGTATTCATGCTAAGATAAAGCTACCTTGTACACTGTAAATATGTACAGTAATTAAATGTAAATAAATCTTTTAAAATGGTAATGTGAATTGTTTTCCAATATGGTTGCATTAATTTATGTGTCCATCAACAATATCTGAGAGTTGGTGTGGCTTTATAACCTTGCTGACACTTCTTGTTTGTTAGCCTGAAGGATGTAAAAAAAAAAAAACCTCATTGTGTTTGTCTGTGTGTGTGTGTGTGTGTCCAAGATCCTGAGAAGAGAATGTAGGGTCCATCAACAATATCTGAGAGTTGGTGTGGCTTTATAACCTTGCTGACACTTCTTGTTTGTTAGCCTGAAGGATGTAAAAAAAAAAAAACCTCATTGTGTTTGTCTGTGTGTGTGTGTGTGTGTGTTGTATGAGAGAGAGAACACATGCCCTTAAGGGAAAAAGAGAGAGATAGATAGGTAGATAGTTTTGTTTTTTTTTTGGGAGAAGTTTTTGCCATAGGATGCGTGCGCTCACCAGACAGACAGAGACATAGAGACAGAAAGTGAGAAATTATCCCCTAGGGGGTATGGCCACACCACAATCCCTTCTCCTCCATTCTTCTCTCAGGATCTTGTGCATGCACGCACACGTGCCGGCGTGAGTTTTAAGCCACTGTGTCTGGGACGTGAACCGTGGTCGACTACGTGGGAGTCCAGCAACATAGCCATTACGCTAACTGCTCGTCCCAAGGTAGATAGTTTTGACATGGTCTCACCATGTCATGATCCTTCCTGTCCCAACCTCTCAGTCAATCAGTATCACAGGTGCGTGCCACCATGCTGGGCTTGTTCAGGTTGGGCCAGAAACGAAACCTAGGCCTCCCATGCATCCACATCTGCAGCACAGTGGCTTCTTCCTGCTTGTGCTACTGCAGTTGGATCCTCTTTGTGGTTTAATGTGCATTTCCCTGATTAAATTTGAAGTATTTTTTCCCCTAGGTTTTAATACTGTATGCTTCAGATTTTTCTAAATTACAGTGGACAAACATCAAATAGACCTTTGCCTGGATGATGAGGAAATCTGCCTTACTTAATTTCTTGCTGACAATCTTAGTGAATGAGAAGCAAATACAAACATGTCCTCTCTTCATCCAGGCAGGCATATATATGCCTCCACATCAGTTAGAATTCCATTTATTCTCTTGGTGTTTGGAGGCAGAGAGACCCAAGTATATTAATAGTCCATTACCACAAAAAATAGCATAGAAAACTTGGGAAAAGTCATTTAACTTATTGTAACTTCAGTTTCCTCAGTTATAAAGTGAGTGTAAGAGTATGCGTTGCTTGATGTTGATTGTGAGCTCATTTTCTAGGGGCTGGAAGGCTGAGAACTACATTTTCTAGGCTTCATGATCAACAGATTCTAGTATAGATTTTGTCAATGTGAGATGAAGACTTAGAAGACAGAAGAAGACAAGCACTTTTTGCTCTCTGGTCGTGGTGAGTAGCCATGTGGATATGTATTGGACATGTTTGCTGTGTTCTCTATGTGAGCATCTGGGAACTCCTACTTTAATGCAGCATACAGATGAGATCATTGTCAGGGACTTCTTGTTATCTAACTTTATGCTGATTTTTTCAAACCCAGCAGTGGTTCCCACTGGCCTTTACTCCTTAATACAGAGATTCTGCTAAAATACCTAGAGTGGCTTTTGTTTTCCTGATTGAACTCTGACTGATATACAATACCTTATACTTACCTATTAGGTCATTGGGAAAGCCATTACATGTTTTTCTATGGTTTTTCTATGCAAAACTGCATCATGACTTTCCCTGCGACCAATACTTTGGGCAATTGTGAAGAGTAAATAGAGTAATGCATGCAGAGCCTCAAGGATGAGCTTGGCACACCCTTTTCCTCTACCTTTCTAAAGAAAGAGGATCATCTCTCACTTTGAAATGTAGAAATAGAAACAGATGGAGAAAGTGAAGAATCTTTCTTTAGACAGTAGATTAGGAGACCTTGGGTGAACCTTCAGATGAAACTTGGTTTCCATGACACCCAGGCTGAGCTTAAACACAGCTTCTACAACACTGCCAGATCTGTGCTGAGACTCTCAAATGTCTGGAGCCAGCTCTGTGTGCTGCTGGCTGGGCTCAGTCTCCACCAGGTGTGTTGGCATGCCAGCATCCCTTCTGAGCTGTGGTGCTGACTTTCTTTATGGTGTTTACACTGAGTCTCATTAAAAATCCCTACCCAGAGTTATCCTTTGATCAATCTCCTGCTAATACCTGCCAGAAAAATTTCTAAGTTCGAGTCAACAAATAGGAACCATCTTCCTCCATACTGCTGAAGCATCACCTGGAAGGCATTTGGTGTAGCTACGGCCTTCTGTTCATTTTCCCACTGGCCTCAAATAGACTTGAAATAAACCTCTAAGTGTGACTGGTGAACAACCAGAAATGCTGACAGGCCAGTATTTGTTTTCTAAGACTTCTTTGCTACCATGTCTTGGTATTTCTGGAGTCCTTCAGGAACAACCTCAGAAAAGTCAGATTGCAAATCAAACTCTGTCTGATCTCAGAGTTCCCGTTCTCTTGACCATAGGAAACAATGCTGCACCAAGAGAGGATGCCATCCTCCTCCCTTTTGAGTGCTATCCTTCCTATTCTTCTATCTTCTTTCTAGGGCAAAATATGAATTAAGCAAAGCACGTCTGCTTTTTCAAGTTTCTGCTTTCTAAACTCCTTCTCTTCCTTTAGAAGCCCCCTTCTTTACACTTCAGGAACTCAGTGTTCTGAATGTATTTCAATCATTGTGTCCTCTCTCAAAGAGAAATATACATTTTAAGGCCTAAGGACTCTCTGGTGTATGGTGTGGAAAGCTCTGGTTACTCTCATAGTCTGTACATGTGTAAGGTGCCTTATATGTGGTGAGAACAGGCATGATCAAACCCTTCCTTTCTCAAGGGGCCCAGGAGGAGAGACATCACTACACAGTGCCAGCTTGGCTGTGGGAGTGCAGGTGGAGGAAGTGGGCTGGAATATTGATTCTGGCAAAGCAGGAGAGAGCTCCACATGGAAGGGAATAGCAGCAGCAGCATTTCTATCACCCCATGGCTGCTGAAATGCCCTCTGAAATATTCATGAAATATTTTCTGTTCAATGGCTGTGTTGGCAGAATATGTGAGATAGTGAGGGTAGGCTCCATACATTGGGCTCTTCTCTCCCACTCCCTCTTCCTCCTCTCTCCTTGAGACACAGCTGCTGGTCCAGGTGAGCCTGTGACCACCTAGTGACCTTTCCATTAACTCACGGAACTGACTCATGGCCAGGGCCATTCTGGAGGTACACACCTCTCTCCCATATCAACATCGCAACATCGGAGACATTAGATTAATGCACAAGCTCTGACAACTCAGCTAATCGATAACCTGACCTTTCAACCTGACCTGTCATCTTCATGCAATGTATGTAGCAACCAGACCTCTGCTTTCGAGACAGGGAGTCTGTGCTGATCTTACAGCTGATGTATGTGGTCTTTGATCTTGAAGTATATAACCTGAGCCTACCCCTCTGGTGGCCCAGACCACTTCCCACCTTGACCTAAGTAAGTGAACTCAGATCTTCTCCTGCTGGACCTCTGGGTGTATTCTTTGGAATTGGTAAACATTACAGGTTACCCATCTCAGATTTGGGATTCTCCCCTATAGGTGGTTTTGCTTGAGAGTCTATATTCAAAACAGCCTGAGCTAAGGAAGTGGAGTAATGTGATTTTTAGAAGTAGGCAGGGACAGGACTGGTTCCATGGCCTGATGGTTAAGGCAGCTGGATCCCTCATGGCCAACTACAATGTGTGAGTCCTGGACCTGGTGGCCTAAGAGACATTCTGGGTACATGTCCATGCAGGCCCTAAGTTCTGAAAGGAGGGACAGATGGGGGAAGGGGTTGCAGTGTGACCATTCCCAAACGAGGGGATATTTTTTTTCCACATCTCCAACAGATTTATTTTTTTAAAGGAGGAGTTTTGAGAGAAAAACAAACAAACAAACCAAAAAAAAAAAAAAAAAAAACACGGGCAAAGAAGTATGGAATAGAAAATAAATACAAATATAAGCTGGTTTGCTAATTGTTTTATAACCACAACAAACTAGTACAGAGAATGCCCTGTGCAAAACACAATAAATTTTCAAAGACTGAGGTGTTCCCTTAGCAAAGCTGACGATTTCAGTCTCTAGTATTTGGAATTTAGGCTGCAGTCCTTGTTTTTGAATGGATCACTGGGGGTGTGGCACAGTCCATGCTTTTAACCAGATCTGAACATAAGAATGGCCACTTGGCCTAGGCAGAAGTAGATGAAGTGTTTGGCTTCCAGTGTCATGCAACTATGGAAGTTCCTCCCCATGATGCAGTGCCAGGTGGGTTTGTGCTTCTTGTCAAACTCCTTGATATGGGCCGCAATGTCCTTTTCTATGTTATATTTCTCCAATGCCTGAGTCATGCACTCCACTGAGTCCTGTTGCATCTCTTCCAACATGTACACATTTTTGATCACAGCTTTCAGTTGCACATGGTTACCATGTAACGGGCACTGGCTGACAACTGTCTCCTGAGGGAGGTGCCAGCACAGCTCAGGCCCAGCAGGAACTGCGGTAGCTACCGAAGCCGTGGCACATCTCTCAAGGGATTCTTTATCTTCTACCCCCCAACTCTCTCTGATGAGTACATGTGCCCTATAGAAGGAAAGGAAAGGAAAGGAAAGGAAAGGAAAAGAAAGGAAAGGAAAGGAAAGGAAAATGAAAAAAAAGGAAGGAAGGAAGGAGGGAAGGAAGGAAGAGGCAGAGACCTTCAGAGGAAAGGAGAGGGACTCAAACTAGAGGCTGCAGGGAGAACTGGGGACTGGTGGGAGTGGTCGGGGTTGGAAGAGCAATTGCAGCCAATCTCTTGGTTCCAGTATAAGGCAGACTTCTCATAAGCCCAAGTTGTCATGCCAATACAGAGTACCAGTAGCTGGGGGCCTGTCCCTTTGTCTAGCTCTGTGTCTATAGTTATAGTCATGCATATTACAAGAGCTGAATAATGGACTTACCAAGGGACTCATGGATCCCAAGGCTTACACCTCCACAAGCCTCTACCCAACTCGGTAAGACTGACTCCAGGGCTGCAGAACCGAGCTGGAAGTATCAGAGATATACAAGTGCTGGGACCAGCAGTTAGCATAATGGCTATGTCACTGGACTCCCATGTAGTCAACTGCAGTTCGCGTCCCGGACCCGGTGGCTTAAAACTCATGCCGGGCATGTGTGTGTGTGTGTGTGCCCAAGATCCCGAGAGCAGAATGGAGGAGAAGGGATTGCGGCGTGGCCATCCCCCCGGGGGTGATTTCTCACTTTCTGTCTCTCTGTCTGGCGAGCGCACACGCCCTATAGCAAAAACCTCTCAAAAAAAAAAAAAAAAAAAGAGATGGATAGAGAGATATGAGACAATTCTTGTCACTTACAGAACACCTGCTTTGCCCCACCCTGCACTAGATGCATGGCTGAATCACCACTGCAGACCACAATGGGAGGCACATGTAAATTGGCATAGCACAGAAGAGGGATTATTTCCCCTGGAACTGGCTAGAAAACATGTTAAGGTCCAGAAGATGTAGTGGGACAGCTAGTAGTGTCAGGGGTTTGGAGACCTGGTTTAGAGGCTTTAAAAATTAGGAAACTTTTAGGGCAGGTCCCATAGCCTAGTGCTTAAGAGAGTCAGATCCCACATGACCAATTATGGTTGTAATCCTGGCCCAAGCAGGATTGAAAAACATTCTGAGCATGTGTGTGTGTACTCAATTTCTGACAAATGGAGGAGAAAAGAATGCGATGTGACAATGCCCCATTGAGTGCTTTCTCTCTTTCTCTTCCTCCCTCCCTACCTCCTCCTTACTGCTTCTCTCTCTGGCAAGCACAGGTACCCTCTGGCAATTAAAAAAAAAGAGAGAGAACCAGCAGATGGCATAATGGTTACGTTGCTGGACTCCCATGTAGTCCACTGTGGTTCGAGTCCCAGACTCAGAGGCTAAAACTCAGGCCATGCATGTGTGCATGCATATCTAAAATCCCAAGAGGAGAATGGAGGAGAAGGGATTGCAGCATGGCCATCCTCCTTGGGGGGTGATTTCTCACTTTCTGTCTCTCTGTCTTTCTGGTGAGGGCACACGCCCTATTGCAAAATCTCTCTCAAAAAACAAAGAAAAGAATTAGGAACCTTTCATAGTTTAGTTCTCTCTAAGCTTGCCCTAAAATAGGGATTTGGGTGTAGTGATCTCAGCAGCAGAGTGAGTGAGTGGGAAAGTGATACAGGGCTGAGTGGGGAGGGTCAATGGTAAAGGGATGTTGATGGGCATCTGGGGCTCAGTCCTGATGGGGACCTTGTGAGGGATTGTGTAGCACGTGCCTTAGATTTTGTCCTGCTGGGGGATGAGGAAGCCAGGGCATTTACCTACTGGCTCCTATCACATTTCAGAGTTGAGGGCGGCTCTCGGGTCTTTATCTCCCTGGCACTTCAGCCTCTCCTGGGTTGAGGCCGAGCACATTTCCAGGACCAGAGAGTGGCATATATAGGAACAGCCTGCAGGTGAGCTCAAAGGACATGGATGGGCCCTGACACTTTTTGCTATGGGAGCAAACAGAGGGAATAAGTTGCTTCTTAACACTACTTGGCTCTGGGCAATGGCCGTGAAACGCTGTACGATCTAAGCCTCATTTCCTTTTCCTATATTGCTTATGCTTTTTGATAGAGAGAGGGAGGGCCAAGTTATCTAAAGCATCTCTCTATTCACTTTCATACTATGCTCTCCTAGGTCAAAATAAGACCAAAAAAGTGTGGATAGGCTGTGTCAGTTGGAGAATATGTGTATGCACCCTTACATGCACATAAAGATGGATCTGTATGTGTCTGTCCATCTCATATACCTAAATAGGTACAAGTTATGTGCTTTCTTGGCAAAATAATACTAATCAAAATGAAGAGAGTCATTCTCTGAACATACTCTTGAAGAGGGCTTGGTGTTTTACTTGGTAATCCTGTGCCTTGTTTATTTTAGCTCAGTGAAATTCAGAAGCAACAATGTTGGCTATGTCTTCTATATTTTATTTCTGGAGTTGGTACTTTGAGAATTCTAATTTATTGGGGAAACTAGATAGACAAATTTTTATTTTAGTTACTATCCTATTTCCTGGGAAAATTCCCCTATTTTTTTCCTATTGTCCTTTAAGCAGGAATCAAGGGTGGTTATTTTTTAATATAAATACCAAGACAAATATTAGGCAGTTTTATTAAGGGAAATGAAATACATTTGGCCTTATCTTTCAGATCTCTTTGTGGTTTTCCTCATTGGTAGAATGGGAATGATGCTGTCTGTTTCAGAGGGTGATTGTCAATATGTAATGAGATGATGGATCTCAGACGACTTCTAGACTCCAGTGTCAGGCTGGTTTCAAGGAGAGATTGAGACGTCTCCTAATTCCTGGAACATGTTAAGAATTTAGCCCAGTGGGTGTGTGAGGCTAAGACAGTAAATAGTTCTACTTTAACTGACACAAGCCTAAGGGCACTTTTGTGAAAAGAAAGAGTACCCTGCAAGCAATCTGAGTCCATCAATTGTATGTCCAAACCCTTGCATTAGAAACAGCAAGAGAAAAGTGAGTATGGCAGAGGGTGGGCAGCAGCAGCAATGTGTTTGGAAAATCCACTCTGCTTCATGCCATTCCTGTGGTTCTATAAGCAGCATTTCACTTCATCTGTATGCTATTTTTCTATTCCAGAAAAAAAAAATGTGGCTTAGAGAGCAACTCGCCTGATATTATAATGATGAGATAATCATTTGTCCGATGTGCAAAACCATCCTCTGTCTTTGCATGGTGTTGCAATGAGAGAAAGAAGCCTTGTGTTGTTACTGAAAGCAGCCTACTGATAGCAGCCATTGTTACTCTGCTACTTTTTTGTCATGAATGCAGACCACGCAGGAGGCTTTGCTAATAAGTCTGAAGGTCTGAAAAGACCTGATTCATGTATCTGAAGGCAAAGACTTCCTCCTGATGCCTGGAAAAGTCTCTAGGTTCAAGTCCTTGCTGTATTCCTGAAATTTTCCTACTAACCTCAGAATTAGGTCTCTTTTCACCTGAACTTCATGCATTCCTCCTGTGCATTATAGTCCACACACGTCCAGTTTGCTACAGTCCCCTACCCTTGCCTTGCTGCTTCATGTGGCCCTGACTCTACTGCCACTCTTCTCTCCTGCACTTACCTGCTCTTGCCCGTTCTAGGATTTGTATCATGGGTCCCTTTTCTTTTTCTTTTTTTTTTTATTTTATAAAATCAGTTATTTAATTAGGTTCTTGGCAAAAAATTTAGAACACCAATGCGTGAGGATAAACTCCATTTGTAAGGGCAAACATGGATCAAAGGTAGCCCTGGAGCTGAGGAACAGCTTTGATTTTTGGTAAAATTTGCGAGTCCACAGCTTTCTGATCAATCTTGTGCTGCTCTGAAATTGTGTTATTTCTTCCTGGTGTCTGGGCTTCCACAGTTTCTTTTTCTTGAAGTAAGCATCGGTAACATGCTCTGGGATTTTTACTTTGCTAATATCAATTTTCGTGGAGGTGGCAATGACAAATTTCTGGTGTGTTCTACGCAGTGGAACTCGATTGAGAACCAGCGAGCCTCCAGTTACAAGTAGCAAGCCACTGCTCAGCTGCTTCAGGAAAACCACTCTCTTGCCTCTGTGGCGTCCGGTGAGGATGATCAGAATGGTCCCAGGGGTGGTGCTAGCTCGAAGCTTTCTCACATACTGACTGAAGGGTTTTTGCCATGGCTCAACAGCTTTCGACGCACATCTTCATTGACTTGGACTAATTTTTTTTTTTTTTTTTGTAGGAATGTTGAGAATGTCTCTAAAAATTCCAATTCCTTAGGGCAATAGTCAAAAGGAATAGTATGGTTTTGAGGGAGAACCAAGAATCAAGTCAAGTCGATGTCGAGCATTGTACAAATGTCATTTCATTTTATCATACAGAGCAACCCGAGAGGATTGGATGTCCACTTATCAGACGAGGGAAATTTTTTTTCAGAGGGGCTTGTGACGCATGTCTGTGTCCCGCAGTTGAACACATCACAGGCTGCCCAGCTACCCTGTCCCCCCAATCCTTCTGTCCCACCACACTCTGTGACCTCACTGCTCAGTTATCTCACGGGACCCCATTTAACTGCAGTGTTCTGGGTGCTTAGCTCCTGATGGCAGGGACTGGTACACATCACTCTCCTAACATGTCATTCCTTCCCTTCCTTGTTGTAAAGGTTTGGTCCCAGCACTGAAAAAGAACACACAGGTGTGGGGAAGGCACCTTCTCTCCCTCCATTCCTTCTCCCTCCTTGCTCACTGCACTGAGGTAGTTCACTCCAGGGAACTTCTACCGCTGTTCTGGTTGGGAGATGAAAACTGGAGATAGAGAAGGAGTTAACTGAAATTCACTAAATCCCCTTCTCATGAATGGATAACCTTGATTAATTATCTAGGAGGTACTGGGTTATTCTTAGAATAGAGTCTTCACCTCCTGTCCTTGG